GAGTGCTCTTTGCTTTTCAATTCAAGTATTTGTTTTTTCTATGGACATCATATTCATCTTCTTCAATCATACATATATATATATATATATTTAAAATAAAAACCTAGTATATACATCTATTTAATCATTACAAACAAAAGGAAATATGTAGAAGAGAATTTATTTTAAGATTGAAATCATAAAGTAAAAAATTTAAAAGAACTTTTTTTTTCTCCAATACTCTACTCTAAAAATAAACACTTTAAAAAAACCTATTTCTTTCATTTTTTTTTCTTTCTATTCTATATTTATATTATTGAAAAAAATAAAATGGCAAGGAAATCCGAGTGGTACATTTCTATAAAAACAAACAGAACGACAAAATAGAAAAAAAAAAGATATATATGTCCTCAAGCAATTATGCTTGTAACAAAGGTTACTTTATTTAGTTTTCTTTTTTTTTTATTTTGAAATTATTCAAATTCGAAATTTCCTTTGTAATTTTTATACACTTAAATTTCTTACTTGGTTATAAACAATTAGTAAAAGAAAGATTCTCTTTTAGTTCTTTGTTTTTACTCTGCGGGTGTTTATTCACATATATTATCAATAATCAATTTTAGAACTCATTTGTTAGATGTCTACTATGAGAATTTATATGTATATACATATATATATATATAAATAGATCATTTTTTTTTTACGATTCAACTGAAGTATTCTCTCCACACATCAGTCTCAATAATAATCAATCTATGAGAAGACTAATTGTCACCAATGTGTAAAAAATCTCTGTTACTGTTGATTTACAATCTTTGATAAGCATTAGAGATTTTTCTCTTCTTTCTTTTTTTTTTCTTCTTCATCGCTCCTATTTATCAACCAATAAGAATCTATTCATTTGTCAACCAATAGAAAATCTAAGAATGTAAAAGAGAAAAAAAAACGAGAGAAAAAGGAAATGATTATTCTCAATATGTAGACAAGAGGTCTCTTTTGTCTTCGTTTGTATATGTGAAAAAAAAAAGAAAGAAAAAAGTAGAGAGAAAAAGAGTGAGAACGAATAAGTAGCACATATACACATGCACATATTTGCCCGTGTCGTGAGTGGAGTCGAACCTCTTCAATCGATCTCGAAAGCCTTCTGAGAGCCTTCTCAGAGCATCTCTCATCCCGCACGCCTTCGTTCGAACACGGTAAGTGGCCAATTCTTCTTTCTCTCTTTTTCTTCTCGCATTTCATTTCTTTCTTTATCGTCATTTTTTTATTTTCAATAATATTCATACAACAAATCATCCTAAAAAAACAAAAAAATTATAAAACGAAAACCATGTTTCAGGATAGTTCAGTATCATGTCATACGATTCATCATCATCGCCACCTAGATCAACATCTATATCAACAACTATACCACCACCACCACCAACATCATCATCAACAAATAATGTCGATGATACACCAAATTTATCATCATTATCATCATCAACAACATATGATTCATTTTTTCCAACATTTGATGATGGTTGTTCAACATATTCAACAAATAATAATAATATAAAAAAATCACAATTATCATCATTTGATCCAACAATATATCAAAATTCATTTGCAAGTCATTTTTCACCATCAGGTGTACCATATCCATTTTATTCAGATGCAGCGACATCATATTTTTCAAGTCAAGCACGTACATATTCCGATTATCTTTGTCAACCAACATATCGTACACCAACAGCAAATAATCCTATGACAACAAATCCTGTAACAACATCACCAACAAATACAAATAATACATCAACTAATTCATGGTATCAACCAGCACATTGTACGGATCCAAGATTTGCAAGTAATAGATTTGGAAATTAATCTTTTTTTTTTTTGAACAAAAAAAAAGACAAAAAGAATTTGTTTCTTTTTTTTAGTGACACGTTTATTAACTGGACAAACTCCACAATATGATATGTATCAATCTGCTACAGCTATGATGGATCCATTGAAATCTGCTTATCATCCATTTGCATTTGCACCAAAACGTAAACGACGTGTTTTATTTACTCAACAACAAGTTATGGAGCTTGAAAAACGTTTTGATAAAAGTCGGTATTTAAATGCTCAAGATCGTGATCAATTAGCACATTCATTAAATTTATCATCTACACAAGTTAAAATATGGTTTCAAAATCATCGTTATAAAACAAAAAAAGCTTCAAAAGAAAAAGGTGGTAATAATTGTGTTGATAGTGGAGATGAACAACCTATATCAACAAATAATCCTCATCAACATCATTCACAAATACAAACGAATATGTTTCATCCACAAGTACAAATTCCATCAACACATCATCGTCTTCATCATGCACATCATTTACATCATCATCCATCACTTCATTTACTTAAACATGAACCACGTTAATTATATAAAACAAGAATTATTTCTAACAAAAAAGACTATTCTATTTTGATTCTTTCGTTCATTTTCTTTTTCTCTTTTTTTTTGTCGTGCAATTTTCTTCTTATTGTGTTTTGGCCAATTGTTTTTTTTTAGAAGCAAAAAAAAGGAATAAGTCTTTATCTAAGATTTTCTTTTTTTTTATTGGATATGATTAATTCTATTTGCATGTTAAATTCAATCATCATCGTCATCATCATCATCATCATCGTTGTCGTCGTCCGAGACCAAAACGAGCCTACACTCTCAATGTCATTTTGAAGTGGTAGACGCAGCTGGATAGAGACAACAAGTGGATGAAATGTTGGCACAACGACGACGACTAAAAGAAAGCAAAAGAGACATATAAAAAAAAAAAAAGAAAAATGTCATCTCTTTCTCTTTCCAAATACATATCGCATGTGTCAATATTTGTTCGAAATAAAACCAAGCAGTTTAAGAGCTTGAAAAAAAACGAAAAGAAAAAGACAAATTTTTCAAATAAATCACTGATGTAATAGTTTGTTAGCACGTGTTAATCATAATTGAAATGTATTTAACAAATTCAATGATGATGCTGTCTCATTTTGCTTTGATGGAATTAAGAAAAAAAAGCATTTTCTTTCTAAAATGGTTTATTTTATTTTATTTTTTTCATTCAATATATATACCTTATAATGCCTATGGCATTCATTTTTAAAATAAAGACATAATGATGATGCCCGAAAGACAAAGAAACACTTAAAACACAAGTAAACCAAGTAAATTGAAGAGAAGAAAAAAAGAAAGAAAGAAGAAAGTCAAACAACCATTAGAATAGATTTGTTCTATTATTCTTCTTGTTTTTTTCACTAATAGAATATCCAGGTCATATTAAACATTAATTTTTACTGTCGTTGTTCACAGTTTTTCTTTCTTTTTTTTTCGAGCGTCAATTGATTATGTAAATATATTTATATACATTGATAGGTAGGTGGCATTATTTGTTTAAATTTAATTTACAGCCATATTTATGAACGTAATTGTATTTTCTTCATTTAACAAAAAAAAAATGGAAAAACACAGTGATAATTGAAGCTAGTTAAGATAGAGTTTTTCTTTTCAACATTCATAATCATAAGGAAAAAAAGCAATTGATTCAAGTAGCTACTTGTTAAATATATTTCGTCGTCATCCTATGGAGTTATGCAATTGTTATACACACGTGTCTCTAGATCGATGCTAAGCCACTCGCAAAACATAGCGCGCGCTCGACGGGAGATCGACGAAAAAGAAAAAGAAAAGTGGCGTCCAACCTATTCTACCTCCATCGTCCCTCTCCATCCTCTTTCTAATTTTAAAATGTAGTGATTTCATGTATTGCAACACACACATACGGAAATCGACTTGTTTGATTTATTCGAGAGGCGGGTTTATATATATATATATTGAATATGTCACATCAGAAAGAAGCGGATAGTTGAAGAGGAAAACATTCAGATTTCATTCAATCAAATGTATATAAACAATTAATAAGTTCCAGGGATGACCTCCCCTCCCTCCCCCCCCCCTCCTTTTGAGACACGCCTGATAAGTTCTATTAGAAAATAATTAATACACATGGTTTCTTTTGAAATTAAATATGCAATTAGTAAAAGTTGAAAGTCATGTTAAACATGTTTAATTGGTTGAATAATATAATCAAGTTAATAATAATAATAATAATTCGTTTTTTTTTTGTTCTTATTCTATGTTAGCTTCATTATTTCTATATATATTTTAGAATTGTTCAAGAGGACAAACATTATTATTTTTTCGAGTGAATTCTTATATCGACAAGCTAGCTATCTTGCCTATTAAACGATTAGAGAATCCATCATCACATTGACAAGTACCATCTCATATTTTTATTTTTTCTTTATTCGATGTTTATTTGTCGACATATAATTAGTTGTTGAGAATATTGCTTGTTGGATAAATGCGTGAAGACATAAGAGTACTTCTCACCTGTACAGACTAAATACTCAACTGATTGGACTCATATCAATAGCACATGGGAATGAGATAAATAATAAAACATCAGGTATTTAAAGAAATATATATATATATATATACATATATAGATTTTTTTTTTCTTCAAATTGTAATTAGCGATTTTTCTTTTTTTGCCTGTGGAATTTTCAAGTACGCACCACTCGACAAAATAGTGCGTGTGTATGTCGGAGGGAGCCAGATGATGATTTTTTCTTTTTCTCTTGTTCCTCTTCCGTCATCATCTCATGATTGGCTAGTGCTCTATCGGAAATTTCACTTCCGATTTATAGAGGTTATATGTTCGATGTGTGCCTTCTGCTCAATTACACGCGCGTCTAACAAACATTTGTTGCTTACGTCAGATTTTTTTTCTTACTTAAAAGCAAGTATACCGATAATGGACACCGCACACTATTAAATATACTCAAGGAAAGTCCTTCAACATCACCTGTGCAGACTTTTCTTTTTTATATATTTAATTGAAAAAAAGAAGAAACTACGAAGCTAACTTGTTGTTTCAAGCATAACAAATGAAGATATATTCTTGTTCTCATTTTGACGTCATTAACAAATTTTTACGATAAGATGATTTTTCACTAACTCTTATGGAAAGCAATTAGAGCCAATGAATCTACATTATATATATATATTCACATAATATTACATCGAAGTGAAAAAAAAAAAGAAAAAACTAACGACATGTTGCTTCTTATTAAAATGAGACATGTTGTTTTGTTTGTTACAAAAAGAAAAACCTTTTTTTTTCTCATCGAATAGATAAATATGACGTCAAAAATACAAAGCTCTTTTACACATATGTAATTTTAAACAGCTCATTGATGACACGTGGATAATAATTATGATTATTCTTATCGATAAGAATGCAACAAAAAAATGATTTTACTTATTTTTATTTACTTTAGTTTAAATTATCATTTTATTGATCGAATATATTTTCAAATTTTTCAAATACACTATTGTATTTATATTTAAAAATATATATAATAATATTAAAGAAAATATAGAGTACGATTATGATTAAACATTGATTTTTAAACTTCGTTGATTGATTGATTTATATTTTGGCATACTAAAGAGAATGTTTGCAACGACTTTCAATTTTCTTTTTGTTTCGATTATTTGTTGATTAGTACGTCATAGTACAAGAGTATTCTGAGCCGATGATTAGAGGAAGTCAGTCTAATCTTGAGAAATTTTCGTTTTTCTGCTCACTGATTCTCAAGATAAAAACGTTCGCGACTTCTCCAGCCTTCATATTCGATCAATTCTCTCAAAATCCTTCCAATCGACTTCCTGAATCATTGACTAGCCTCTCGATAGTCCTGGAGTTCTCATCACACCCTGAGCCATATATTCTACTTTTAATTAGACTACTGATTAGTTTCTCGAGGATATGATAATTGTTCCCTCTGGTGCTCTCAATGTGTTTGTAAACGAAATCAAGGAAATAACATTGTCAATGAGTAATAAAATCTTGTATATTTTAAAAATCATTTAAATGAAATATTTATTTGCCATTGTTCTAGATTAAACAATGAAAAAAGAAAAGATTGTGTCAATACAAATGGCAGTGGTAGCCTGAAGCAGCCCACATTGGCGGCGAAGGAGGAGGGGATTGTTGTGTTAATTTTGCACAGGCAGAATATCTCTCTTATGACAAAATGCGAAAACAACTTTCGGCTGTACCGGGATAAAACACAAAATTTTCACGATGGATAGGATGTTACATACCCTCCTCGTTCCTGGACCATGACTGACTATTAACATATCACAAATGGCCTATTAACATTGTGGGTTTAATTTATGTTGGTTTTTGTATTAATGTTAAATTGAGTATAGAAAATAACTAAACGATCGCTCTACAGGTCTCACGAAAGTAAGAGGATGTATAAGAGTGTACATCTCTTCAATACTTGAAAATAATTCATTATTATCTAGCAAGATAAGAAAAATTGTTGTGAGATTTCACACTACTTCTGTGAGACATATTCTTATACATTCTTGATACTGCAACTCTTGCACAGGGTTTGGCCAGCTGTTACCATTTATTCAAAAAATCTTATGAAAATCTTTAACATCAGCACCAACATTTAATGCTTTATCAGTCCTGGAAAATTCTTATATAAATACAAGTTTATTGGATAGTTTATAAGAAGTATTTTTTTTTCTCATTCTTATGCATTAATAATACTGATAATAACCGATAAACTTACCCTCAGAGAAAAAAAGCAAAACTTAATTTCCTTTCTTTTTTTTTGAATTATTATCTAAGAGAATATTGAAACATGTTCAGAACTTCGACAAAAAAAAAGAAAAAGAATTTTTTTTCTTTACTTAAAAAATAAATACATTTAAATCTATTTATATCATGATGAAATGTGGCATTTGTCTGAATCTATACACACAATTGAATTATCTCAAGTCTTAATTGAGAAGCGAACGGCGCCGAATGTTAATCACAATATCTACGCGTGCAATTTTTATCGTTCATTTTTCTTTTTCTTCTTTTTTTGTGTCTCGTCGGAAACAAATCTACCAATGAAATTCATTCATTTTATTCGTTCATTGAGTATTCATTGGTGGAAAATAAACAAAAAAAGAAGAAGAAGAAGAAGAAATGAACATAACTATTCTTTTTTTCTTTCTCTCTCTTGTCAGTTTAATAATCCTCCACTTCGTCGTTGAAAAAACGCAACACCAGCCGAGAAAAGTACTTCTTATATTCATCATCATCATTGTAGAAGACACTTCTGTCCTGTTGAGTGCGTCAACTTCAAACGACGAAATAAAAAAACTCTCTTCTTCGTTTTCTTTTTTTTTCTTTTACTTAAAAAAACATAACATCATCATCATCATCATCTTCTTCTGTGCACTACTAGGTGAAGTGTTGTGTGGCTGCGTACATCCATACATTCATACATAAACGATTGCTATTGCTTTTCTTATTCTTA